AAAAAAATTGTTTATGTTGAAAGGTCCTCACTGATTCACTCACACAGGCCCCCCTAATTGAACCTAAGTTCTAGATACCACTTTGTCGGGAAAGAGATGAAAAAGAGCAGAGATTTTTGGAACGTAAAATTTTTATCAGAAGAGGGTTACTTTTTATTTTATGAGAAGTCTAATATATAGACAACTCTTACAATAACGAAAAGAGAAAAACACTCTCAAATTCCTAAAATATCTCTAAAACTCTACGTTTAAATTCTAAAAAATCTCCAAAACAAACTCAACTAAATTAATTTAGATAAAATTCAATCCTAACTAAAAAATTTATTCTTCTTAACTAAAACTCTTCGCAATAAGTAAAAAATTTAACCAACAGGTTTAATGTATTCTCTCATGCCCTAGTTCAATTTGCAAAGTCCAAAAAGGATTTTGAAAAATATTGAGATTCTATTCCTAATTTTGTACCTCTTTCTGTGTTGGGCGACTTCTCAACAAAGTAATGAAATTCAATTCTTCTTCTTCAAAAAAGAATAATAATAATAAGGGAGCGGCTAGAGTCCCGTTACGGGACGGTTCCGTTTTAAGATAATAACCGTAGGATTAATTAGGTTAATTAACAACCGTAGGATTATAATGAGGGTGCATCACAAGTAAATATACCTAAACACACCTGATTAAACTGAAAAAATTAGAGAAATTACTTAATTTTGCCCAAAGCTTTAAGTGTCTAGCAAATTTGACCCAAAAAGATTTTTGCGAAACCAAATCCATCATCTAAGTTTCAATTTCTGGCCAATTTCATCCAATTGACAAAAATTCCGTTAGATTTAACACTTCGGCTGACATTCCGTTACGGATAAAATGACGGTTGCACCCAAAGTTTTAATCGCGTTGTTAATTTTACCCCATTGATTTTTGGTTAGCCAATTTTGCCCTTTACGTTTGAAATTTTTGCCAATTTTATCCAAGTGGCCCAGTTTCCGTTAAACTTCAGGGATTTCAATTAATTTTTAACAAAAATATATCTCAATAGTATCAAAAATTATAAAAATAACCCCAAAATATGTAAAATCAACAAAATAATCTCCTTTCATTATTTATTTATTTATTTTTAGTTCATTTTATTTCTCTTTACTACTTTTTATAACCATCAAAATATATTTTAAGATCTTTAAAATAATAAGTATTTATTTTCAAACTCTATTTTTCATGTGCAAACATGTGAGTTTGGTTCAGAAGTAATTTTTTCATATTTTAAAAAATTTTAATTAATTTTTTTATTTCTTGTTATTTACTATTCTTTTTTCTTATACTTCCTGACTTGTATCTGTTGCTACTAGTATAATTACTAAATTTCATTAATTAATTTACCTTTTATTTCATAGATTATAAAAAAAGTTTAAAAAATAAAGATAATGAGGAAGAAAAAATCGAGTTGAAATAAATACGAAAATTAATAGGTTATCATTCTAAACAAAAAAAAAATCTTAAGAAAAAAACTGCTTAGAAGAGTCTTTCCTCCTTGACTTCTTGTAATTCATAGATAAGTTACAAAATATAAATTTTACTCGATCTAGCCTAAAATAATTATTTTGTTTGTGATAGTAAAAATAATATAAAAATTAGATAATCATTTGAAATAGGAAAAAGTGCTAATTTATTTAGTCCACGACGATGAATTATTTTAAATTTAGTTAATACAATTTTTATTCTTTTTTAGTAATTGTTATTGTTACTTTGCCGATAGCTAAACTATATAAGCAATAATTGAATTTCATGACAAAGATAAATACATATATTTTTTAACAACATTATATTTAATATGTTATTAAACCTCGAAATTGAAATACAAAAGATAGATATTTTTCTTGAAATATAGTAATTATATTGGTGCCAACATATATAAGTCAGAGAGTACAAGAAGAAAATTGTTAAAGAAATAAAATAAAACAAATTAAAAACTTTTAAAAAATATAAAATGAAAAACTTACCCCTAAACTCAACTCAAGTGTGTTGCACTTGAAAAATATTGGTGAAAATAAATAATTATTTTTTAAAGATCATATAGTATATTTTGATTGTTATAAAAAGTAGTAAATAGAAATAAAATGAAATAGATTAAAATGAATACAAGTGAAAAGGGGATATTTGTTATTTTTATATTTATTTTAAGCAAGAAAAAGGATGAAACCGACGTTTAGGTTCCGGATAACTCAAATAATATTTTGTGAGTTATCTTTATAATATTTTGAAACTATTGGGGTATTTTTGTGAAAAACTAACAGAGATCCGTTAAGTTTAACGGAAATTTGACCAATTGAATGAAATTGACAAAAAAATTCAAACATAAAGGAAACAATTGGCTAATCGAAAATCAATAGGATAAAATTGACGATGGGGTCAAAACGGTGTAACCGCTATTTTTTTCCTTTTCCGTTACTTTGTACAATTTTTTAGAAAGAAGAAGGGAGAAAAAAAAAAGAAAAACTAAGTAAAATATTTTGTAATTTTTGTGGAACTGAAGAAAAGTGGCGGCGACGGAAATGCGAGTAGTGATGGAGGGAGGGTTGTGTACTGTTGGTAGAGGCAAATTTTTATGTTTGTGGTGATGGTTTGAAATCCTCACAGATTTAGGAAGTGGTGATAGTAATTTTTAGGAGAAAAGAGGAAAGGGGCGGTGGTAGTGCGCCAGCGGAAAACAAGTAAAAGAGGAAGAAAAGGAAGAGGCTTAGGGAGCAATGAATTAGATTAGGAGATAAATTATGTGGTAGGGACGTTATAATAATTAAATGGTGAGATAAGCATATGTTACTGAATAACAAAGCATTAGGGATAAACTGTTAAAATTTTGGGCCAACAAAATTTTTTACCAATAATAAATTGTACAAAGTAACGGAATGTCATTGGAAATATTAAATCAAACAGAATTCTCATCAATTTGGATTAAATTGGCAAAAAGTTAAAATTTAGATGATGAATTTGGTTTCTCAAAAATATTTTGGGTCAAATTGGCCAGAAACTTGATGTTTTGGGCAAAAGTGATCATTTTCTCAATTAGTTTATGATATTATAGAATATTATTCACCACGTGGTTACATCTTATACCCTCAATTTTGATTGGTTGAAGACAAAACGGGACGGTTCCGTAAAAATGGCCAACGGGACTCTAGATTTTCCCTACTAATAATTTGCGAGTTTCTTCTTTTTCTCCAACTCACCCTTTGAAGCAAGCAGTTCATATTAAGAATGAATTGAATCATAATACACTCAGTGAGGTTTGATAGGTTTAACACATTATTTTTTTTAACCTTTTTCTTATTGGATTTTCGATGCAGTTTTATAAAATATCCGTAATCTCTAAGAAATGTCTGGTCCATTTCTCCTTAACTTGGCTCGATGATCTCACCTGAGATGATTATAACTTTCATTCTTTCTACTTTACTCCTCTGTTCCATGAAATAATTTACATTATAAATTATAAATCTTACTATATATTAAGGGAATTTTTCTCACAAGACACATGTCGCACTATTAGAGCACTAATAATTTCCAAAAACACGTGTCCACTTTTCATTCGTTCAGAAACTTTAGTAGTCTATGTGTCAGCATTTTATTGGCTTATTACTTTTTACTAATCTTTAACTACACCTCATGACTGTAATCTTGCATAGTAAAAAATTTATGATATTTTTACATATATCATCCGTTTTACCTTTTCACCGATAATCCTCAATTTTATCATTCAAATAACCGGTGAAATAACTCCGGCCGGCTAACCTTAGGTGATGGCAGATTTTAGCACGCCATGTTAATGTAATCATCAGAAATAGTTGCCGTCGACATCATCATTGGATATACACAACTTATATCCACAAAAAAATAATCCTCTCTATTGATTGATTATTTTAAATGGACTATACACATGCTTCGCCGGAATCATTGGAACACGATTTCCAATTTATCACGGACGAGTTCACCGTTGATTAGAAACTCCATTGAAGGAAAATAGTTGGTGGATATGGTCACCGGCTGACAATGATTAATTCATTCGTTCAATTGCTGGTTGTATTCTTCTTTGCTAGAGACTTCCCACATCCGTTCCTACCATTTTGCTAAATTATGTGTGTATTTCTTAAAAAACTAAATGATTATGCATCATTTCTTCAAACATTCATCTTACCATGAACGAACTGCGTCCACCATGCATAATTTTAGGAATTTTCAAATTTCAGAACCGGATAATATGGAACCAATTTAATTCAAATTTCATTTAGAAGATTTTTCCGGATTGTATTTTAGGAATATATATTTGGGGAACATATATTCGTGTAATTATACCCATAATTAGCGTATGAAACTACCTTTATCTTAGTTAATTAATTGACGGGAATTCCGTAATTGATCTTCAATTTAAATTTGAAGTATTTCAACTAGCGTATGAAACTACCATCCGCATGTTATTTATATATTTATAATTTATTATATATATTTATATATATTACCGATCATATAGAATAGATAATAAGATATTAAATTAAACTTATAATTACCGTATGAAACTACCTTCATCTTAATTAAATAATTAAATAATTATCGAAATTGCGTAATTGATATATAATTCAAATTTGAAGTATTTCAAATATAGTATGAAACTACCTTCTGAATGTAGTCCAAATTTACATTTATGATTCACTTAGATAACTATCGTTCTACTTATCATTTTCATTAGAGATCATATAGGATAGATAAGATACTAACTGAGAATCAAAATTTGAATCTGTGTAATTAACTAATTGATATACTCCCATATTTAAACTGAATTTAAATTGAGTTTTGCGCCTCAGAACATTATAAACCTAATACGTCCTTTACGCTAATTCTCCTTCAATATAAACCGTACGCTTAGTTTCCCCAACACCTCTTCACTTATTCATGTTAATACACACTCTTATAGCAGATCATTAAAATTTATTCTTTTCTTCTCCCTCTTTTGTTCTCTTACAATGGCTCAGGCTAGGAGGATAAATTCTGTCAAAGAATTGAACGGAAGTACCGGATGTGGATGGCTGATTAACGTCAAGTTGTGCAAGTTGTGGGATCCCCATCATTTTAAAAATTGGGATAGAGTTGAGAGCCGTGAAATGCTTCTTATGGATTCAAATGTAAGCTCCTATACTTTGTTTTCACCGTTAATTAATATTGAGATACATACATGTTTTTGTTCGATAAATAAAAATTAGTAGAATTTTTTCGCAATTTTTTCTTAACTCAGGGTGACAGAATTGTTGTCGGGGTCCATCGTGACCACTTTCATCATTTCAACGAAAAGCTCATTGAAGGAACTTCTTTACTGATCTCTAGCTTCGATGTGCAAAAAATGGAGAGAGATTCAAGCAGTGCAAACATGTTTTCCAGATTAAATTTTATGAGCGTACGACAATCGAACCAGGCCCGTATGTTGGCACTACCAATTTTGGAGGAATCCATGGCTTTGATTTTGTCAGTTTCGCCTATATCAATGCACAAAAGATTTACCCAAATTAGTAGGTATGCATTTTTTTTGTATTATTAAATAAATGATGAAGTTTTTTTCCATCAATGTATCAAAGTGATAAAATATATGTGGATTTAATCGGTTTTGTTTCTTGGTTGTTTTTTTTAAAGACGTAATAGGGCAGATCAAAACAACGAGTGGTCTGACAATGAAAATGGCAAGAGGTCGAAATCAACATCATATGGAATTGCACATTATGAATGAAAGGTAAGAATAATTTACACTACTGATTTTTCCAGGTTCTATATCAATTTCAACTCACACTAATTAGTTAAGTTAAATGTTGCAGTGATGAAATTCTGAAGTGCACCCTATGGGGTGATCATGCATTAAAGGTCCAAATCATATCGATGCAACTGGATCAATCCGAGTCATTGTAATCACCAGCAATGCAATGATTAATGCATATGAGGGTATTTACATAATTAGACATTGTTTTGCGTTAATTATTGTATTTTTTTCATAAAAATTCAAACAAATATTTTTTTTTACAACAGATATTAGAAGAATTCAGAATTCCTTATAGAGTACTAATGTTTATCTAAATGAAGAGTTGCTAGAAATTGTCGACTTCAGGCAAAGGTACACTGTCATCGTACAACGTAATATTTTTCCTTCATATCTCAAAGTTTATTAACAATTCCATTTATATGTATGTATTGTTTGTAAACAGAATCACTTGTACTGCTGGATTTGATGAAAATGCAAAGATTGATGTGCTTCAGCCTCAGCCAAAATTAGGAACAATTGATGATGTCATTACATGGCATAAAATCACCATTGAAGAGTTGTCGACTATAACTACAGTAAGTGCGGATTTAATTATATAACTATTTTGTTACACACAAGTTTAATTTTTATAAATTCTCTTTTTTTTTTTAGCCAAGGTCAAACTATGCACTTATTGCCACTATTGAGGCTCTTGATCCGGATTTTAGATGGTATTATATTGGTTGCCGCAAATGTCACAAATCTGTAAAAGAAGAGGTTGTTCCAATTGCTGTGGTAAAAATTGAAGGCGAAACATCGTCTAAGAAGTCGAGGTCACAAATTCCTTCAAAGACAGTGTTTCGTTGTGAGCCTGAAGGCTGCCCTAAACCAATAACCACAGCAAGTCCTAGGTACATTCAAATTAAAAAATGAATGTTTAAATATTTATATTAATTTTCTATTACGAGAATACCCATATTTATTTCCTCTTATGATTTTTTTTATATTAAAATGTTTCTTAGATACAAAATGAGAATTAATGTTGAAGATGGCACATCGGGATCTTGCACATTTGTGATGTTTGATGATTGTATTCGTCATCTAATGAATAAATCATGCGAACAAATCAGAGAAACTATTCCACCGATTTGTATTGATAAACTCATAATTATTTAAATTTGCTATGTTAAGAATTCTACTAATTTTGTTTTCAATTATTTTCCTATTATTGCCTTATTTAGGGTACCCCCAACAATCAAATACCGGAGGAACTTTACCAACTTGTGGAGAAGAGGCTCATATTCAAATTTGAGGCGACTGATTATGTCATACAAACGGGGTCGACGGTTTACAAATGCACAAAAATTATTGAGGATCCCATACTTATTAAAAAGTTTGAGAATGTTGTTTGTCCTGTAGAGGTTTGCCCTAAATTTGTTGATGTATATATTCCATATAAAACATGTATTTACTATTTTTACTATATTTCAGTTAGTTAATTTTTTAATGGTATTATTGAAAACTTAGATTGAAGATGATAACAGTATCACCAATCTGGATACATCTGATGTGGCTATTTCGTAGTCTGTTTCCTCAAACATCCCCAAGGTTTGTCATGTTATGCAATTTCGGATATCTCAATCATTTTATAATACGTGTGTTGTTTTGACTTGCATTAATCCAATAAACAGGTGACTGGTTCAAGCTCTGTTAGAACTGAATATGATCAAGACGATGAACCTATCACTCCTGTTAGTTCTATTCAAAAGTGGAAAGTTGTTGAGATTGACATCGACGATCAAGAACATCAGGCCTCGACTAATAAAAAGCATGTCTAATCTGTTGATTTCAATGCTTTTATTCACTTCTTTGGGGATAATTCTTACAGCTTTTACGTAAACAAATTATTATCTTTTTCTTTGATGGTTTTTTATTTCGTACCTTTTTTGTTCCGTCTTTCTGTACGGATTATTTTTCGTGTAATAAAATATTTATCCATTCTCTCTATACAGATGTTAAACGTTACAATTTATTCAATTCAATCTGAATATTTAAATATTAATTATAATTTAATATTAACATTGTTATAATAGTCTTCTCGATTATTCCGAAATAAATTAAAGCTAAACATAATCAAATCATCCTATATATGTCAGAAATAAAATTTTTTATTGTCATCATTATAAGCATGTAAGGATTTGATATTTTCTTCGTTTTCCTATTAGTAAGATTCACGTACTGTCACATAATGTATAAAAATATTACAATGATTAGTAGGTCATCATAATAGCATAATCAAATCAAAACGAAATCAAAAAATTGTCGATTGTGCATAATTTAGATTGGAGTTTTTGAGTTAAAAAATGGTTCAAAAAAAGGAGTAGAGATAAATATAGGTAGAATTTTGGAGAAGAGTAAAATACCGATATCGGATTCCTAAAATCCGATTTTCCAATTAAATCGGATTCTCAAAATCCGACCTTCCCTTAATACAAAAAATTAATGAAATTAATCAAGATTAAGAGAAGGCCGGATTTTTAAAATCCGACCCTATCATATTAAAATAAAATATTTTCAAGAAAAATACTTAGTTTTTTTTTGGAATAAATTTTTGACCAATGTCGGATTTTTAAAATCCGATTTTAGTATAAGGTCGGATTTCAGAAATCCGGGTATGCTTAAATCGGATTTTGAGAATCCGGGTATGCTTAATCCTTATTTTATTCCTAAATTACAAACAAATCAAAAAAATTAGATAGGACTTAAGCAAATACCTTGGAAGTATGTCAAAATTGGAAACCCAGTCGCCATAAACAAGATCGATAGCTTTTCTCCTTCTCTCCCATGCCCTGTGGTAAGGAACATCGACATGCATACGGTCTTTCACTTCTTTCTGAACGAGTTTCACTTCATAATCTAGGTCCAACTCAACCTTATGCCTTATGAGATGCGCAATAAGCGTTGCGCTCACATTCCGATTATTATTTTCCTCGGTGACATTCATACAATTGTGCTCGAGCACCCATTTCACAATCTCCCACAAACCGTGGTCTCTCAAGGAGGCACGTACCTTCCAACGGCAAGGAACATAACCCTTAGGGGTTGACTCTTTTAGGGATTTGCACCAAATATACCATGTTGAACCATCACTTTCCTTCACATAAAACTCTCTCTTTTGCTCTATGTTCCATGCTGCAGTATCATTTTTTGCTTCTTCCTTATTCTTGAAACAAGTCCCTATCCCAATTGTTGCGGTTGTCCCGTCCCACATGGTAAGTTGAAATTCATCCTTGTCCACTTTTGTATGATCCCATGTACCCTGTGAACGATATATGTGCCTGTCCTTTGTGGTGAATTTGTCTTCGACCTCTTCATCACTCTCCCGACTTCCTTCGGATATTGATTGGTTTTCATCGCTTTGATCACTTATCGATGTGTAGTCCTCATCATCTTCACCATGATTATATTCCATGTGATCGCCATCCTCCATAAACGGTCCACCCACATCATCATCTTCCATGTAATCGACATTCTCCACATTCGGCCTACCACTACTTGTCCCTACTTCCAAATGGGACCTAAAAGTACCCGCCACCTCCAAATCTACATACAAATCAATATATGTCGAATTTGGGAGGAATACAACACTTGCAACGATGCGTCGTCCTTGATTTTGGCGATACGCCTAAAACCATTGCCCATCGTATCATACAAAACCGATAGACTCAAATTCACATTCTCTCTATTCCACCCCGCTCTTTCACAAATCAGTCCAACCAAATCATTGTACAATAACTTATGATCAATCACAAAGGAATCATCCGGCATGTTGTTAAAAGTATTCACAATCCCATTCTTCCATACAAATTTGCTCGACCAATAGACATTAATGAAATATGGACCGTTAAACGCCATTTATATATGTTGATTACATGAATTACAACTATTCATGAACAAATTATTAAAAAAATGACACAAACAAGGCATTATCAAACAACTTATTATAAAAATTACCACAAACAAGGCATAATCAACACTAAAATTACTAAACCCCCTACAAATTCAAAAGTTTAGGCCAAATTCAAGCATTTTACTAAATTGAACGTTCAATACCACGTATACAACAACAATCATCAACTATACCCAACATCAACCCTAAAACCTTATAAATCATCTTAGTTCTACACTTTTACAAAGAAAATAACAACAATAATTCTAAATACATCAAAATATTAACTAACCTTCTTGTGAAATGGTTTTAAGACATGCGTTGCGAAGAATCGTGAACAAAATCTTCAAATCGCCACTAAAATCACCTCCTCCTTCAAGAAATAGCCTCCTCTACCAAAAATCTCGATATGTGAACATTGTTTTCCGTCGCCCCATTATAACACAAAAAGGTCAGATTTCAAAAATCCGAGTTTATAAGTAAAATCGGATTTCCTAGGAAGGCCGGATTTCAAGAATCCGACTTTTTGCCACCTAATAACGTCCATTCAATGCCGATATCTACTGTTAGGTATGCATAAATAACCTTGTACTGTTCTTAATTTTCAAGTCTCCAGCCTATATTTTTTTAATAAAATAAAGAAGGTCGGATTCCTAAACTCCGACCTTTTACTGTTCATTATTTAACTTTCAATACATTTTTCTCACATGTATTTTCCGAAAAAAAAATGTTATTTTATTAAATCGGATTCGTTAAATCCGAACTACTAATTTAATTAGTAGATCGGATTTTGTAAATCCGATCTCCACATTTTGCTTTACAAATATATATATATATATATATCTCTACTCCTTTTTCTAGTAGATTTTTTAACCAAAGCACCCAATTAGATTGTCTTCTAATTCCTTTGTAAACAGCCAAAAAATAAGTACTTATTAAAATAGTTGAAAAATAATTATAATCTTACTAAGTATTTTTTATCATGCTAAACAAGTAAATAATAAGAAGTAACTGTATATTACTTCTAATTATCACACACATGTTACGTTGAGTTTTGTAATACTCACTGACTATATATTAATTCAAACAAATGACCAAATAAAAAAAAAATTCTTCTTAAAAAACAAAAAATTAATAGAAAAAAAAAACACATCATTATGTTGACTACTTTTTTGGTAGTGTGTTTGCATTCTATTAAAATTCTGATACTGCACATCATCTACAACATGCAAAACATCATTTCCGTAATTAAATTGACTTATCAACACTATAAATTTTTTAACTGCCCAACAATAAATCCATCCACTTATTTCCTCCGACCTAATATATATATCAATAATTCTCCCTGTTCCATTCTCACTTTCTTCCAGATTTCAAACAAAGGTGTTTAGATCTTTCTTTCTTTTCTCTCTTTCTTTTCTCCTCCATTCTGCCTGTCATAATCCCTTGCATGCGTTTTGAAGAAAAATAACCAAGGGGAGTAATCTGTGTTCTTTCTCAAGATCAGGTAATATAAAATTTGCTTTTTTCTTTCTTTGTTTTTTTTTTTTTTGGCATCTACTTTATAGATCTTCTTTACAAATACACTTTGTTGTATGTAGATTACTTCTGTACAACTATAATATACATTACTATGGATTATGTACATTAATCAGTTTATCATCTACTGTTATTTTTCAATCTTTAAATATAGGAAATATATACAATTTGTAAGCTATTATGTTACCCTTTTTATTCGTATAAATATAATTTTAATTATTGCTGCTCTGTTTTTTTTTTTTCATATAACAGGATCTTAATAAAAAAAAAAAATGTCGTACCACTTGGTGTTCTTATACACCGTTCCAAAAGACTTCGAATTGCTTGGTTTTGTAAGACATCTTACCCTTTGTTAAATTAATGTATCAGTTTGTGTATATTGTTTTTTAGTTGTTATGTCAGAATTTAAATATTCAAATTTTATTCTTTTTTTCTTTTTTTGCATTTTAGCTTCTCACGTCTAGGTTGCGTGATTGTTTCAGCGGATATGTCCCAAAAAAAAATTAAATTGGTTACTCCAATAGGCAAATTTGAAGTATTAATTTCCGAAGCTGCAAATGGTGAGATTGTTATGTTTGGGAATAAATTCTTAAAATTTGCAAATGAAATTCAAATCGGTCCATGGTGTCGGGTTCATTTTTATTATCACGGAACTGACAACATCATATGCCTGCCTTTTGGATATGATGGGACTCAATCTGTTCCATACAAGCCATACACTACTTTTGGAGTTCAATGCATATTCAAATTGAAACCTCATACTGCTGATTACTTCACTGTAAGTGTTTCCATTCTGCCATCACTTTTTACTTAAAAATTAAATTATATCTCATGAATTTAATTCGACATCAGTAGATGAGTTAGTACCAATTATGTATATATTTATGTTTTTGTCTAGGTTGTGCCTGCTGAATTCATCAATGTACTTACAAGGCCTAATACATTGGTTGTGACTGTTGAATTTGGAGAAGAAGAATATAATTTTGAATGGTTTACCAATGAGCATGGTTGTAGTGGTGTCATGTGGCTTATTTTTATAATTGGTCATCATTTCACTTTGAAGAATACATTCCTGCTTGCCTATATGCACGAGACCACATTTGTGCTGGATGTTTTTGATGAAAATAACTTTGATGTCCATGCTCCTAGTCGTCCATGGAATTCGGCCTCAGCTTCTTAATAAAGTAAGCACTTAAATTAATCTTTTAATTTATTTTGTTATTTCTTTATTTATTTCAGCATAAACTCACTTAATATATTTCTTAATTCCATAATTGTCTATTCTTCAGGTTCTGAAGATGAATCTTATTTCTACCAGTGGTTGGAATCTATGTAACATAGTTTTTAGTT